TTCCACAGTGAATAAATACTCAATGAAGAAAGCGGAATATGCTTTTCTAAATTACTTTTGGTTGGCTTCAGCATTTTATCACATTCCTTTGAAGAGCCTTGATTTTAGTAAATCTATCATTTGAGGATGTGAGCTGTGTGTGCGTGCGTGCAGGCGTGTGTGTGTGCGTGTGTGTGCGTGTGTTTAAAACAACCAGACTCAATGGAAAGAAGACCATAAAGCTGAGTAATAGATTGTCAGGGGAATTTTGATCCTTTTTTGGGAGGGTGGGGGGAGTATTGGTTTTTAAAATGTAAGAAAACTGATTTTTCTTTGTTACTTACGCATTTATTTCTAAGGTAATTTCTAAAACAGGATTTTAGAAATCTTTAGAGCAGTCACAGCATTTCAATACATAATGCTTTCCCATTTTTATATACTCATTTGGATGTATATGTATATGCATTTGGTTTTCTTAAATTAAAATTTTATATTTTAATCATATAGTATATCATACCCAGCAAGTGGTACCCAAAGACTCCAGTGGTACCCAGCCATTGATAAAAATACCCCTGCTGCTTCCCCGATAGCTACATGCCATTTAAAACTGCACTCGCAGATCAGAATCTCTAAGGGCCTTCAGAACAACCCTGCTACCCTTTCTGAAAGGGTTACCTTTTTAAACAGTTTATCTGCAGTATGTAAGTTTTCAAAAGCCAGTCAGATGTTAGTTCTTGTGAAAAATTACTTGCTGTAACTTTCCATGGTTGATTATATGCTAAGAAAAGTCATTTAAATATTAAATATTATCTTCACTTACCTACTAGCTTCTAGAGTACAGTAGATGCTTCTGTGGGGCTCTCCATAAATGTACTCTACTTGAATTTATCATTCCTCATGGATTTTGCATGAGTGAAGATTTTTAAGGATTCAGTGTCTCAATTTAAGAAAGAGGTTAGAAGTTTGAAAAGCTCCTGTGATGAGTAAAGTGTAGTTTACTTTGCTGCCCCTTTGGTTTGGCTGCTGAAACGGTAGATGTGGTGAAGCCAGTCTAAATGGGTGCCGCTGCCTGCTCACCTGTGTGTACTCAGCTCCCCGTCGGTAGTGTAAAAGAAGTGGCAAGTTTTTCTCCTTTGCCACGTTGGAATTTATACTCAGTCTTTAATATTCAGTGCACCAGATTTAAAAATATGTATAATATGTGTGGATTTTAGTGTAACAAACTATTACTGAAATTCCATTTGTGTTCCACCACTTAATCTACAATCACAGTTAAGAAGGGCAGGGTTCTCTTAGCATACACTCTCTTTTAAAATCATTGAATGTCTACCTGTATTACAAATCATGACCAGCTTTATCTGTACCTACTTATTTCTAAAATGACTGTGCTCTTGCAAATTAATGTTTCGTTTATTGATATAATTACTTTAAAACTAATGTATAAAATTAATAAGTACAAAAACCTCAAAAGTATTGAGAGTGGATAGACAACTAAAAGTTCTTTGCCCTTGCAGCATGGTTTTTATAAATCCTATGTGTTTGGCCCACACATACGGGCTAATATTAAGTCATTTTTAAAGTGATGGCTTTGCATCACCATGGTTCTTCTGTGGTCTGTGGGGTATCATGTTGCTTTAATGTAATGAACCAAGTCCTGGGCTCCTAAATTTTTTTTTCTGCATGCTGGAAATGATTACATAAAACTGAATGGCTATATCTGAAGTCATATAAATTTTGAGAATTTCTTATTTAGGAAAAAAATCTTACAAAGACTTTTCTTATTCTTTGAGGGGGGGAAACCTTGCTTTTGTGTAACAGGTTTCCATTCAAAATATCAGTGATTTTAGGTTATATAGCTTTCTGTTTGAAAAACAAGCATTATCTCCGCGGCAAGTTCTATATTTTAACTTTGTGCAGATGTGCACTAAAAGAACATGATGTGCTTATTTGTTGCATTTATGCTACTTTCTTACTTTAAGTAAGATGGGTGAAATTACATATTAAATAAAAACAGCAGCTCAGATGGCAATCCTTAGCAAACTGAAAAAGCTTTCCATAGATATTGAAGAAAATGAGACTATGACTCTGGCTTTTGAGAGAATTGTCTACTCAAATGCAGTTATATAATAATTTTTTTGTGGGATTTATCAGTTAACTGTCTAATGTTTAAAACTATTCTCCCATTAAATTGTGCTTGTGCGGTATTACCAAAAATATTATGTTTTGTATCTTAATCAAATATAGCACTTTAATTTTTGACGTAACTGCAGTTATAAACACACAACTGAAGTGTATGGCATGAAACTCCAGTTAGTGAAAATAGCTGTGAGGCCTTGGTCAAATTATTTAACCTCCCTAAACCTCAATTTTTCTTTTCTGCATGAAATGATACCTACTTTTTAGGATTATTGTCAGGATTAAATGAGAACATCTATCAAGCACTAGCACATACTTATCAGTACACGTTCACTTACATTCTGTGTTCAAAGCTTTAGAAAGTACAATGTATTATTTGGTACTTTTGAGCCAGAAAGTTCTTTGTATTAAGTATAACTTATACTCAATTCTAAAATGAAACTTTGTATTGGATATCGCTTATCACACTCAATTCTAGAGTGAGAATTTAGAATATGTAGAATAAATTTTTTTAGAATGTTTAAAGAGCATGTGTTTGAGTGGCTACTGAGCGTAAAACATTGTTTCCTGTCATTCACAGTCAAATATATTTGAATTTCAGTAAGGGAAAGGTCAATCTGAATTCTGTTCCAAGTCCATTTTACAGGCCCTCTCCCCTTTTGTTTTCAATTTTCCTTTTTTCTGCAACACTGTTGAAACTTTTAAAAAGTTTTCATAATTAAAAAGCACTTGACTTTGTTCCATAGTCATTTAAAAATAGGCTTGATCAATATGAAGCATTAAGCTAGGAGCACAATTTGCTGCTTTTTTATTGATTTCAGTTACCAGTGCCCTCAGGCTTAAGTGTGTGAGAATGAAAATGATATATGGAAAATGCATCCAGGTTGAACAGACCAGTCTTCTTTTTACATCTGCAACCACTATAAACAGAATTCTTTATATGGAAGTGACTTTGGTAGCAGTTAGTTACACATACACACACCTTAAGACTCCAGGTGCCCTCCTGAGCCAGCGTTTTTGTTATTGAGGCCAAAACTTGTATAGCGATTTGGGAAGTTTCTGTCATTTAGTTAGTTACTTTTATTAATTATAAAATACTATTCAAGGTTACAGATTTACAGCTCATGAACACACTTTTTTGGCATTTAAACAGTTGATTGTAAGCCAGAGTCTTGGGGATTTGAAAGATGTTCTGCCAAATAGCCAGTTGCAGACCAAGACCAATCAAGTCAACAAGGTAAATACAGGGACAGGCTGCTCAGCAGGGCACGTATTATTGAGAAAGTTGTTCGAGGAAGTTGGCTGTGGGCAGAGGTTGTCATGTGTCAACTGCCCCGTCAGTCAGAGCTTCCACAGCTGTTCCTTGTCATTAGGCCCCTTATGCGCTACTGCTCATCCATCAGCACTAACAGATACTGTGTGGCTCCCTCTTTGGTGGGCTGGGAAAGCCACGGCCACACAGACTTAAAGTGTATATTGCACTGGCCACCAGTTTGGATGGAAACTCATTTCCAAAAAGGAAGACCAAACCCCAACTCCTTGGTCTTTCATCAGACCATTAACCAAAATATATTCTCAAGAGAATTAGTTGGATTTTAGAAAATCTGTTTTTGACCAAAAATATGGAAATGTAGATTGCTCATTTGAACCCAAAGAAATGCTTTCATTAAATGAGAAATGAGAGAGCTTTCTCCACCGGACACCAGATTATCACTGAAGCAGCCTTTTGGAGTTGAACACAACAATGCAAAAAAGACTGGAAGTCACAGATGTTCCTTTTGTGATGATGCAGCAACCTGCCAAATGGGAGACATCCCAATTCTAATCATAGACCAGCCTCCGGCAGTTTCCTGTGACCCTTCTTGTATTCTAGAGACACCCTTACAAGAAAGGATTTGAAGGCAGTAGTATCACTGTCTGAGTACTGTATTGACATTTTTAAAGTGCCATTAATTAATAGGAATTAAGCTTAATAATGTAGAAAAATACCCAGCCAAGGAATATCAAGACAGTGAACTACAGCTCAATATTCAGATGAAATCGAAGGGAAATGCATCTTAACCTTTTGTTTTTTCTTAATTAACTTATTACTGAACTCCAAAGCTAATTGAAAGGCAACTGTGCAAGCAAGGGAAATGGTAAACATAGTAAAGGGAAATTGAGAAAGGCAGATATTTTTATCTTGTAAATATTGCAGCTGTATAGTATATAAAGTATACAAAGATAGTATTCATGTTAAGATTATATAATTACAGTCTTACTGCTTCCGTCATGTCCATTTTGGAAGAAAGTTTTTCTTTTCAATATCCCCTCTCATATTTTGTCTGTTGATGCTGAATATACTTAATGTATTTGATATAAATTAATCCATGTGAGTCTTGACTGTTGATTGAATTTGAGAATTATTAGGCTGATAGTATGCACAGTGATATGCACATGAATAAAGTAATCTGTCACAAGCTAGCAGTGATTAGATATTTTTCTGGATTTTTATATCATTGGTTCATTATTTGCCTATTAGCTAATTTAAATTCAAATAAGTTTTTCTAACTGAAATTTTAGTAAACATTTGGTAAATAAAGGTATCCTTATTTTAAAAATACATACAATACTGAACTACAATGAGCATCACACTGTACGATGTTTCTGATGCTGATTCTGAGCAGGTGCTTCATTGGAAAATAGCACAAGGACCTAAATCGATCTCCTCCCTTTATTTTTTACCAAGACAGATCATCTATTATGGCATAAGACACATGATATTTTCAATAAAAGTTGAATGATTGATATATGGATCTGAGATGAAATAACTTTAGGGTGACCTGTATAAGGAGATTAGAAAATAATAATATTAATAAGTGTTGGGCTTTTTTTTTCCCCTGCAGGTTTTTATCATTCATTGGAGGGACACTGTGTGAAATTGGAAAGCCTGAAATGCAACAAAAAATAAACTTATTCCTTGAAAAGGAAGGAATAGAGAAAATTGCAGAAAAATTGCAAACAACAGTACACACTTTACAGATCATCGTAGATGGCCTCAGCCAGCCTGAAAGCTTTGACTTTCGAACAGGTAAATAGTTGAACTTGAACAGCACCTTGTATTTGCATAGTTCACGTTATTTCCTATGGCCCTCACAACAATCCTATGCCATAGGTGAAAAACAGTTATTCTCCCATTCTCTACTGAGAAAACTAAAGCCTGGTGACCTTCCTTCAAAGTCATTGCAGTTAGTAACCAGAGCCAAAGCTAGAAGCCCAGGTGTCCAGACTCCTCATCCCTTGCTTACTTTCCATTACACTGGACTAAATGCATCCACACATGTGCTGCTGTGTGCAAGGAGGCACACATTTTTCACGATCCTTTTGTAAGCTTTTTTTATCTCATAGGAGCCCGAAGTCCAAGGTAAAGTATTCAATAGACAAACTAAAAAGTGAATCTTCTTCCTAACTTAACAGCCTTCCAAGTTCCTGGATTCTGTGTCAATGAATACATTGAACAAATAAGATATTATCTCACTGTTGATTTTCCTTCTAATTAAAAGTGCTCTCAGCTTTCAGCGCAAGTAGATGGCAAGGGAAGTATAAGAGCCTCAGTTGTTGAGAACAGTGACCCGGTGAGGAAGAATTAAGGTGTCAAATGACCTATTTCCCAAGGAAATTTGAATAGGAAGCCCTGAGATTTGAACAAATCTGCACTTGTCTCATAACCAGTTTTGAGATACCATGTTTAGGGCTTGGCTCTTTTCATTTTGGGTTAGACTGTGTTGAGGTAGTTAGACATTTTTCTTTGAAAAGGTTTAAGGAAATATAAAAACATACCCAGCAAACTCACTGTGCTTTTCCTCAACTTTTCTATGAGTTTGAAATGAAATTACTTTTAAGTTGGAGAAAGTAAAATAAAACATTAAGACCTATGCCAAAAGTGTGGGAATGAATAGAAGCCTTTGGGTGGATGTTTCAGTAGGCAAATCCATCTCCATTTAAAGGCCTGCTAGCCTTGTATGTGAGTACCATGGGTGTTGTTTAGCAGGAATTCTAAGTAGAGCATTAGTTCTCAAACAGGGTGGGATTTGAGGACAGTATGCCTACACCACCTCATTAGAAGGGTGGCAGATATGCTTTTGCTGCAGGTATCCTGTACTGGGTTTTCTTGTCTATCTCTGTTTTTCTCTCTTGATGTCAATTGCTCCATTATTACAGTTCCACTGTAGAGTCAGGGCAAAGATCAACACTCAAATTATATGGTTCAATTAAACAACCAACAGTAAGTAGAGGTCCTCACCTGGTAATGCTCCTAGTTGAGCAGAAACACAGATACGCCTGGCTTCTTATTGAGCTTACTAGTCAATGCAGTGTTTATCATCATGACAAGTGAAATTTTAAATAAGTCTCTTTAAACACACTTTGGAACTGACCTTTGCCCTAGTATAAGTCACAATTTTCAAGATGCTTGAGAACTTTCCATTTTAATACTCGAAACATCACCAAGGGAGAAGACAGACTGTCAAGCTTTGGAAGGGGCAGTTAGTATTTCAGATGTTTCTGCATTACGGTATTTACGTTACATCGCTTTTACTCATTTCCTCAAAAGTATCCTTTCTTGATGCCTCATTCTTTCCTTATACTCGTCCTGTCTTCTGTTTTCCTAATGACATAATCAGTTCTACTTTATTAACGCTGTGGTTGCTGGTTACTTTCCATAATTGGGTTCGTCAGAAGCAGCTTGGTGACAGGAGACTGAATATGTAGCCTCGGTAATCAAAGTGTTAAAGTTTGCCTAGTACGTAGAGGATTTTCTGATTTCTTAGTGGCCCAGGCTGTCTTTGGGAACATGTTAAGCAGTTTCTGACTGTGATTTTCCATGCAAAATTAAACTAAGCAGCTGATCAGGAACCCTTCAGGAATCTGTACCAGCTGGTCGTCTGCAAGAAAAAGGAGGAAAAGAGTTTTCAAGCATAATTACAGTGCCTATGGGGCCTTGGAGACCATCCGGCCACTGACCCTGATCAATGACTTAGTTTCATTGTGCTTTGGCACAGTCGTTGCCCAGTGTAATGTTACATTATAGTAGGGTTCTTGCTTTTGGAATTCACTGCTTTGGCGTCAGGTGAAATTCTACAGAATCCATTTCAATGTTAGCATATTCCTTTTTTTATGAGGAAAATGAGATTTGAGGTTTAAAGAGGGCTTTTGTTGTACAGGAAAAAGTTTTTTTAAAATCTTGATTTCAGTGTGGTTGGACTAGGGAAGGGCAACAAAGAGGTGACCAGTTGTTAATACAAATGTAAAGGATAGCTCCAACAAGTAATCAGGATGAAGCCAACAGCTGTGAAGGAAAAGGAGCTGGAACGAGTGGGGGTGGTGGGGAATGAGGTCTCAGTAAAAGGAGATCCAAGCATAGAATGTGTTCTTTGTTACTAGAATCAACATTCAGTAATCCTAGGGAAGGGAGCCAAGAAGAGCATGGATAAATGGAATCCAGAGATAATCCCATTTAAACTGTTAGTTCTAACCTTCTCCCTCATAAAACCTTTGTTTTGTTTTAACTAGAGCCATAATGATTCCTTGCCATACTTTATGCCCACTTTTGGGGGGACATTGTTAATGAACAGAGACATGAACACTGGAGTGAGCAAGAAAAGAGGGCTGTAAGGAACTTGAGAACAGAGATCTAAACATCTTCACCTTTGTATCTCTGGCACCCAGCAGAGTGCCTGGCCAGGAGATAATAACAGGAGTTAATAAATGGTTGATGAATTAAGAGAAGAAAGAAGATTAAGTACTAGCTGATCTGGGTTTCTGAGCCATAAATTACCAAGAATCCATAACTTTTGATTGGATAGATATATTCAAAATGGATAGGAATTGATTCCTGAGCTCCAGATTTGTGGGAGTAAGTGAATAAGTGAGAGAGGAGAGTATTTGAATTTCTCCCTCATTGATCAAACATTGATGTACTTTCTACCACCTTTAAACAGTTTGAGAATTCAGGCACTAGGAAAAATCTCCCAAGGGTCTTCCTTTCTCAGTGTTTTTCATTTAGCCTTGTATATTCATTGAGCAATTCTAACCACTTCCTCATAAATTAGAAATTAAGACTCTACTCTTCTCAGTCCTTATGTACAGTACTAATGTTCACATGTCAGCGAGAGAATTTGAGGAGAAGAAAGTGTTTGAGTAAATTTTCTTGAATTTTTTTCTATGGTGGGAATGTTGTTTCTCCAACTAGAATTCATTTTCTCTGAAGGCAGGCCTGCGTCTTCAGCAACTTTTGTGTTCCCCTCAGTGCTTAATACTGGTCTGGGCACATCATTGAGATGTGGTAAATACTTATTCAATCATTTATGTTGTGTCTTGGAAGTACAGAGCGTTATTATTTACACGAAATGTCCTTTTCCCCCCTTTCCTTTTAGATTTTGATAAACCCGATTTCAAGAGAAGCATAGTCTGCTTGGAAGATCTGCAGGTTGGGACAGTTCTTACCGGCAAAGTGGAGAATGCCACTCTGTTTGGAATTTTTGTGGATATAGGAGTGGGGAAAGCAGGGCTGATTCCCATACGAAATGTAACAGAAGCAAAACTTTCTAAAACGAAGAAGAGAACGAGTCTTGGACTGGGCCCTGGAGAAAGAGTGGAAGTCCAAGTACTCAACATTGATGTCCCCCGATCTAGGATTACTCTGGACCTCATTCGGGTGTTGTAAGTGTCCCACTAGAGGCCACTTATTTCCTCATTTCCATGGCTTGGCAGGAATAAGTCAGATGTTTGTGAATTTTAGATAAGGAATAAGAAAGAATTCACTTAATATCAGAAGTATTTTCCAAACACTTCCCTAAGTTTTTCTTCTTAATAAATAGAAAACTAGTTTGATTTCCCCGAAAGAAAACAACTGATAGGCATCATTATGCGGCTTTATGTAGTAATGTTTTTCTGACCAAAATTTTATTTTTTGTAATTCATCCTTGACTCCTTTTGCATTTTGTATAACAGATTATTTCACCTCTACTTACCAACTTGCCTTGATGGACTTGTACGGAATTATCTTCTTGATTTGAATTGTACAGTTTTTCTTGACATAGTAGGGCTGGCACTGTTTAATTCTCCCTTTTTATAAGTTTTAAAAATCAGGCCTTTTGGATTTGATTTGTGATTTTTCCCTTGCTAAGTAAACCAAAAATATACCAATAGAACAGATCCTGATGTGTTCGTAACCATCAAGTGAATAGCTCAAAGCGTTTCTCAAAAGGATTTATGTATTGATCCCTTCAATAAAGTTTTGTGGCTAGTGACCTTGCTTTTGCTATGTTGATTTAGTGAATGGCCAAGGAGTCACTTTGATTAAAGAAGATGTAGCATACATTCATGCAAATCGCATGTAAACCAGTTGTGTCTTTGGGGAAGAGAGAACCCTCTGGAAATTTGAAAAATGGCTTTCTGTTTGACTTAGTATAGAAGGATGTGTTCTTTCTTAGGCATCAGGATTAAACATCAAATTGGGATAGAAATGGCCTTCCTAAAGATTACATATAGATCAGGGTAAGAAAAAAAAGTAGGTAAAGCAAGTGACTCTTAACTCTATTTATTGGAGTTGATAAGTATGACCATTCAGGGTAAAAATGATATAAATAAAGCCCATACTGTACATTTGTCTATTCAGGCTGCTTTGGTTGGTTTGCCTATTGGAGTCATTGGAGTTGCTGGTTTTCTCCATGTGTCATGAGTGGAAGATTGTTACTAAAAAGGGAGATTAGACCCGCTTTTTTGCCTGGGACAGCCCTGGTAAACTCTCATTGTCATGGAATGATTTTTAACAATGCCTCTTTTTATTCCCAGAGTGCCCCCATTCTGGATAATAAATCATATGATAACCTTAGTAGTAAGTCCCTTACAAAGTGGTAAATCAGGCTGTTTATTGATAGTTCTGCTTTATGGTTTGCTGTGCTGGAAAAATACCTTTTAACTCGTGTACAAAGATCTTTTTAATGCAGTAGGTTCCTTAAAAATTGTGTAACACAAGTCCTGTTTGCCTGACTATTTCATTTCTGAAATGCTTTTTTATTTCTTTTTTACTGATCTTCAATTGACAGTTGTTGTTAATTTTGTAACTTTAAACTGATCTTCCTACTCACTCCTCTCAATGTTTTTCCTGGTTGATCATTTATAGGTCAATGACGAGTGACTAAAAAGTGTTATCCTGAACCCTGCAATGCAATTTCAAATAAATGCTTTCTTTTTATTGAGGTATAATAGAATATATAACATCTTATTAATTTCAAATGTATAGCATAATGATTTGATATTTGTATAAATTACAAAATGATTACCATAGTAAGTCATTAACATCTATCACCACACACAGTCAAACAAATGCTTTTTGGAAAGAGACCATCTCGTGGGCATTTAGGAAACAGAGCATGTAGGAAACAGCTCTGTTGACCTGGTGGCTAAATCTTTGAAGACACAATAAAGACTCAATATTGCACTAGGTTGCATGGATTGTCCTGTCCAGCCATAACATGGTAGAGGCTCCATATGGAGAGGAATAGACATTATTGTGCCTTTGAACTAGTATCTATACTTCTCTGGGCCTCCTTTTCTCAAGTTTAGAAAAATAGATATTATTCTTCTCCATGTGGAGCTTAGAGTCTATTGAGGAAAAAAAGTATCATTAGTCAAAGAATTACATAATATAAAATTACATTCATATTAAGTGATATAATGGTGACAGCATTTAATAGACAAATTGACCTAGTCATAAAAATCAGAAAACATTTCAGTGGATTTCGATTGAGATGTAAAAGATGACCAGAAGTTAATTAGGATAAATGTTTTATTGGCCTTAACAAGAGTTGTTTCCAATAAATAGCAGAGATGAGAGGCAATTGGAGTGGATTTAAAAGAGAGAAGGAGGAGTCGGATTGGAAATGATGAATATAGGTAATTTTTTCAGGGGGTTTGGCTATAAAGGAAGGAGAGAAATAGCACAGTGGCTGGAAGGGGAAAATGGAGTCCAGAGACAGTTTTTGTTTTTGAGACAGAATAATAAGACACACAACTGGAATGATCCAGTAAAACATGCAAAGCTGATACAAGAGACAGGAGAATTACTGAAATGATGTCCTTGAGTGGATGAGATCAGATGGAATCTAGTACACAAGTGATTGGTCTACAATAGGAATACAAAGAGTTTATCCATATAAGAGAGAAGATTGAATATATGGGCACAGATGTAGGTAGGAAGACATGGTGATGGGAGCTCACAGAAGGTCTCTTGGGGTTGCTTCTATTCTTGTTGAAATATAAAGGAAGGTCATCAACTGAGACTTAAAATGGGGGGTAAGGGAGTTGGAGGTTTGAGAGGAAAGGAAAATGTAAGAAAAGGATGAGAGAGTGAAAAGCCGAAGGAAATAGAGTATGATTTCCAGGCAGTGTTAAATGTTCCACTTTAGGTTAGTGATCAATTAATGTAGGATCAGTCCACTTGTTTATATATTTTTCTTCAACCACATCAGTTGTAAGGGCACAGGTGAAGAGGTAGATCTAATCGAGTTTGGGGTTTTGGCAAGTGAGTACAGTAGAGAAGGGCAAAGAAGTTGAGGGCATGTGGATTAAATATTGACCATGAAAATTAAGCTCAGTATGAAGAAAAGTAACAGTATAAGAGGAGTGTGAGGGGCAGTGAAAAAGTATAGGATTCACGGGTCGTGGGTCCTCATGGAGTTGGAGGAATAGAGTGGGAATGATAGAGGACTTAATGGGTGTAAAAGAATGGTGAGATGATTAACTTTGAAATTACAGTTTTGGGGGTTGCAGATTTGGGTCATTATAAAGGGTAAAGAATGATCACACAGGAACAATTAGCAGAGATAGGGGACAAGGATAAGATTCTTAGAGGAGAAGATGTCAAGGAACTGAGTTTCAGGAAGAATTATTTATATGGATAATAATTTTAAGAGGCTGTCACAGGAATGCAGGCATAAAGTAATGGTGGCTTACACCAGAACTATAAAACATAAAATATCAATAAATAATCTTAACAAGTACTATACAAGGTCAATATGAAGAAAAATTATACAACTTTACTAATTAATGTAAAATAAGAGCAGAATACATTAAGTATACCATGTTATTGGATTGGAAGACGTAGAAAGATCAGTCCTCCTAAAATTATTATATATATCTACTTTTCCCAAAATTCCGGTCATTCCTTCACATTGCTTTTGTTTATGTTTGTTTAAACTTAAAAATAAACCTTATTTGGAAGAGCTTGTGAAAAATGTCAAATCAGTACCTTAATATAATAATTTAGTTGGATCGTATGGGGGAATTTGTCCTACCAGATATTAAATTATACTCAAAAGCTGCCATCATTTAAACAGTATGATTAATAGGAATAGACAAACAGAAGAGTGGAATAAACAATTCAAAATCAGTGGGAATTTAATGTATGTTAAAAGTGGCATTTCAGATTGGGACAAAATCATATTGCCACACTGCACGCAAAAATAAATTCCAGATGGATTAAACATAAATGCAATTCTAAAAGAACTTCAAGGAAACATAGAAAGGCTTTGAGAAACAATCGAATAGCCATGGTGTGGAATGCAAGAAAGAATAGAAACATGGGCCCATAGACCTAAAGTTCCATTCAGAAAACATTTATTGGACACCTATGAGATCCTATGCCAGTTGCTGGGGATGGAAAATGAATATATCTTTTGAGTATGTCTATAGCATAGAGGAGCTGCTGCAGCAAAAGATATGTCAAGTTAAAAATCATAGACATTTTGGAGTTAAACCTGGACTTCAGAAAATGGTGTCATCCCATCTCATTTGATGCTACAAGACCCTTTGGAAAGCTTGGTTTTAAATTAATAGATTGCTCATGTCGAGGTCTCTATACATCTAACCCTGACCTCAGATTTAGCACTTGTGTTAAAATTGGAGACGGAAAGAAGGAACAGGATGGAAAAACCAAAAATATATTTAGTCAATCTTTTCATTTTGGCTTCCTGCCTAAAATCAGTCATAATGAGTTGGATTTAAATAACAGATCATGGAGAACTCCTGAATGACTGGGCTCATTGCCAAAGCTGTCTGTTCCACAGGAAGAAAGATATAGATTTCTTCCCACTCACTCAGTTTATATGGTGAGGATGATTCTGTGTGCGAAGGCTGGGTTTATTATTCAGGGAGAGAGTGGGATAAGCAGACTCTGGTCCTGTCAGCACTAAAAATTACCTTTTTAGAAATTAATTTAAAAACCACCCCCAGAAAAGATTTGCTACACTCTTACCTCATATCAAGAATCTAAATAAAGATTACAATATCCTCCCAAAGAAAATATTTTTAAGGAAAAAAGCCTAACCCTGCAGAAAGGAAATAAATTATTAATCTAAACACTACAGGGAAACTTCTCAGATACCAGAGAATTTGTCACAACTAAATAACTCATCTATTGCGACAGATCTGAAGTGTTATGTAGCTCAGTTTCATTTGTGTGTATCCATCCATGTATGTGTGTTGGTACTGAGTTAAGATATAAAATACATTCTTTCGTATGAGTTGAATTTTTTAAAGTGAAAGCTAAGGTACTTTTCTCTATGGGAGGAGTCCTTTCTGTTCCCCAAACTCAGCAATTTCCCCAAACTCTGTTGAGAGAGCCTTCGTAGCTGTCATGTCATTCCTTTTGCCTGGAACAACCTCCCCTTGCTCTCATCTCCACCCTTTAAAGGATCTCAGTGATTGGTTCTCACCCTCTATGGCATTCTCTCAGGAAAGTCTTACTGAGCTCCCAGACTAAACCAAGTTCACTGTTATATGCCCTCCTTGTACCGTGTAACTTTCCTTCACTTCCTGCACATAGTTTATGCCTATCCATTTCTGTATATATAATAGCATTTAATTAATGTCTTCCTCTGCAGATTGGAAATTCCACAAGGATGGCAACCTTGAATACCCACCACTATTCATGGTCATCTGGAACTTCATCCCCCTTTTATTCATTCCTTACCTCCTGATTTCGACCCCATCTTCATTATCTTACCTTGATTCCTCCAGATACAGTGTTCAGCCTTTGTCACTGCCTTAGCTCAGGTTCTATAGAAAACAGACCGTGAGAAAAAGTTTATGTACTCAGGCTTTCTTGGAGTTTATAATCCAGGGTAAAAAGAACAAGAGAAAAAGAGAGAAGTGAATCCAGGAAGATGAGAAAGCAAAGCAAAGTACTTTGTATAACCCCATAAGAAAACACTGCCAATTCTTTAGTCACCGGGTTGTTCTTGAAGAAACTATGCAGAATGATGGTGACTCGGACAGTGGAAGGGTAGAAGGGAAGTAAGGAAGAGAAGTTTATCTGCTATTTTCTTCCCGTCTCCTGTTTCTTACTGGTCAAACTTCATCCCAGTAGGCATTGGTTTCCCATACATTCATGTTTTATTACTCGGTTTCTGTGGACAGCTGCTAAAGATGTGGGTCCCACTGGGTTAGACCCTTGTGCTGGAGCTACTTGGGACCCAATGGAACAGGTGTGATAGAGGCCACACTGAATTCTGGACCTTACCCTCGCACCCCCAGTGAGTGGCAGTGACTGCAGTAGCAGCCAGGCTTCCTACGGAGCTTCTGGCTAAGGATGGGTGTGGGGGTGACAGTGAGACAGGTGAATCTGGGAGCCTCACAAAAAGCCTCCAGTGTATTAGAATTGAGGTTCTTTCACTTAGCTTACATGATCCACTAGATCATGAATGCCCACCATCCCTTCTTTCCCCCCCGCAGTTATCCCTTACTCCTATTCTGTACCTGTGGAACTCAACTCTAACCAGGCTACCCAGCCAGCTCTCAGGCAAGCCAGACCCAGAACCTACACATCCCTGGCCTCACAATTTATAACAGCACCCGGTAACTTGGTGCTAGGAAATCTCTTCATTGTTTACAAGGTTCCCTTAGATCACTTCCCTCCCACTTAGACCTCTTAAAAACACTGAGCAGATGCCACACATCCATTAAAGAAAGAAAATTAGAAATTCAGAGCAGTGGGAAGATCTCTCTGCCTCATGGAGAGTTTGGCTCCTATGTGATTGATACTGGAAGCCTTTGGAGTTAAAAATAGACGAGTCAGGGGCCAAGAAAACTAAAACTGACAATTAATTGGCCCTTAACCCATCACATCTTTCAAAGAGGAAACATATCCTAGCACTCCACCCCATCCCCAAGATAAAAACATCAAAAACCCTAGGAGAGGATATGCAAAACCAGAC